CGAGCTTGAAATTCGTCACACGCACAATCACTTCCATTGGATGTACAATCTTACACCGGGCATACTGTTGCAAGAAACATACACGCGTTATCCCATCCGAGTAAAATACACACTGTGTATGTAATATATATATATTTATTTATTTATACATATATATATATTTAGGAGAGCGAGAGAGTAAGAGTAAATGTAAATAATATGATACATTGAACAAATAACGAAATGAACAAATACCAGTAATTCTTTCAGTAATCAATTTCACTTATACAATAACACGGAATATCGCTCCACGCACGCAAGGCAAGACATTGCTCATCATACAACCTTTCTCTCCTCCCTCTCCCTCCCTCTCCTCTCTTCCTCGCTTCTACTCCCTTCTCTCTCAATCTGTTACCATATGCTCCTGTCGTTCACTACTCTAGGACTAGTCGGAAGCCATGGAACATCCTTTCGCATATCTGAACACGGTAATCGAAAATCAGTCGAGTCACACCTAATTGCTGTCCGAATTTGATTGCTTTTCTTGTGGAGAGAGAGTGAGTGAGTGAGAGAGAGAGAGAGAGAGAGCGACGAACATTGCTCACAGCACAGTGGAGAGAGGCAGGTGGCAAATCGTAGAGCGAACAGCTTCAATCCCTGTACAGCGACCGTAGCACTGACTGGCATTGCTCATGCGCTCTTCCGGGCTCTCAAGCCATAAACATAGTCGCCATGGCCGGGAAACGTCTTTTCCATTATCCGAACATACAACATCACGCATCACATCAACAAACAGCATAACATCTGTGATATGAAAAAACAGGTTGGAGAACTGGAGACACTGGCCCTGTGAATTTTCTGGCTTCCGCAATGCCATGTCCTTTCCAGTGTCCAAGTTTCCAGTAGGCAATAGCCTTTTCGAGTGTCTGAACGTACAGGCGTTTGTTCAGTCACGTGGTTGTGACACCCCATGGCCTTCAGTAGACCGTAGAACGACCTCTCCGTGATCTTCAGTAGCCGTAGAACACGACCTCTCTGTGACCTTCAGTAGCGGGTAGAACGCCCTCCTCCGTCACCTTCAGTAGCCGTAGAACGACCTCAGTCTAACCTTTAGTATCCGTAGAACGCCCTCGCCGTGACCTTAGTAGCCGTAGAACGACCACTCCCTGACCTTCAGTAGCCGTAGAACGACCTCTCCGTGACCTTCAGTAGCCGTAGAACGACCTCTCCTTGCCGTCGGTGTAAAAGGTTGGCTTGCTCTCGAATCGCATGCGCTTCTGGCGCCACCAGGTGTCTCTGGGCGGCGTTGGTGGCGTCGCCGCAGCGCCCCGCTCCTCGCCCCTGTGCTGTCTGAACACGTGTAGTAACTCGCTCACCACCCTCTCGGTGAGGCGATGGTCGGTGGCGTCGACGCCGAGTTGTTGATCGGGGTCGCTGCCAGGAGTCGCCTCCTCTGCCGTCGACGACACGGACGACGAGGCGTCGTCGGTCGTGGATCGCGTGCGGGCATCGGAGGCATCCTGCGAGTCGCCAGGGGGCGCCACGGCGGCGACAGCGTCGGTCTGGCACGCGCGGCTCGTGCTCGGCGGGCGGGACTGCGAAAAAGGCTTCGGGTAGAGGAACGCGTCCCGTGGTGTCTCCTCCTCTTCCTCTGCTTCCTCTGCTTCCTCCGTGTCCGCGCTGCCGTCGCTGTTTCCCTGTCGTCCCTCGTAGCTGTCGCCGTCGTCGCCGCCATATTCCTCCACGCTAGCCAGGCGTTCCGCGCCGCCGCCGCTACCGCCGTCGAATCTCCTCGCTGCCAGCAGCGAGTAGCGACGCCGCGCGGTCGGGCACGCCTCCTGATGTCCACCGGCGACGCAGGGCGGACAGATCCAGGCGAGCGGCGGCGGCGGCGCGCGATCTCTGCCGAGGTCGATGGTCGATCGCGAGGATACAGAGGGCGACACCGAGCGTGCGCTGACCCCGGTGACCCGGCTGCCGCGCCGGTCGTAGCTGTTAGCGTAGTTGCGCGGCATGTTTGACCCCGCCGCTGACCCCGGTGACCCGGCTGCCGCGCCGGTCGTAGCTGTTAGCGTAGTTGCGCGGCATGTTAGCGTACATGTCGTAGTCTGCGTCGTCGTCGTCGATGGCAGAATTGCGGATGTGGTTCTCTCGCAAACCGACGAGTTCGGCCGCGCTCCGATTCTCCCCGTTCTCCCAGCTTTCCAGATTTTCGCTGCTCCTCCGCGGCTTGGCGGGGCTCGTGTACAGCGCGGCACGATGCGTCGAGACGAGCGGACTTCCGGGTTTTTCGCCGCTCCGCGCGATCACGGGAGCGGAGCTGTACAGCGGGTCAGCACCCCCTGGTGAGGCGGTCCCGCGGGAAAGGCGGCGCACCCTGTAGGTGGGCGAGACGGCACGACGCGGTGTGTCCGGCCGCCGCTCCCACCGCCGCCGACCTGCAGAGATGGCGTCGTCGGAAACCGCCCGCCACCGCGGCACACCCGACCCCGCGCGACCTCGCCTGCCAATGGAGTCGACGCGCTGGCGTGTCCCGCCGTCCGCGACGCCGCGGTGGTATGCGCACAGCGGGGGAAGTTCGTCGAAGGAGGAGGGAGGAGGAGGAGAAGGGGAGAAGGGTTCGTTGTAGATGTCCTCGGCAGACTGGGAGCGTCGGTGAGACGAGCGACTGTCAGTGGCGTAGTCTGAAGTCGCCTCGACGTCCGGCACGTTGTAGAGGGCGCCGCCGTTCTCCGCGACTTCTGCCGAGAGCCTATCGATTAGCTGTGCCTGTCGCGAGAGCTTGTCATTTAGTTGTGCCTGTTGCGAGAGCTTATCGTTTAGTTGTGCCTCTCGCGAGAGCTTATCGTTTAGTTGTGCCTCTCGCGAGAGCTTGTCGTTTAGTTGTGCCTGCCGCAAGAGGTTATCGTTTAGCTGCGCCTGTTGCGAGAGCTTATCGTTAAGTTGTGCCTGTTGCGAGAGCTTATCGTTAAGTTGTGCCTCTCGCAAGAGCTTATCGCTTTTCTGTGCCTGTTGCGAGAGCTTATCGTTTAGCTGCGCCTGTTGCTGAAGGTCGAGCAGCTGCCAGAAGGACTTTGAGTGGAAGAACGAGTGCTGATTAATATCATTGCCGCTACTGCCGCCGCCGCCGCCGCCGTACAGTGGCGATCTCAGTAGGGTCGTGTCGAGCTTCGTGTGGATGGCCGTCGCCGTGAACGACGTCGCCGAGGCAACACCAACGCCGTCGGTCGGCGATGGCGACGACGACGACGGCGACTTCCGGTCGGCGCGCGCGCCGGATTTCCGCGGTTGCTTGTCGTCGTGCCGGAAGAGGCGCTGTCGCTGTCCGAAGATGACCGGGTCGCCGACGTAGCGGTGTCGCGGCGCGGTGAGCGTGAAGATGTCGTGCAGACGCGCCAGCTTGCCCTTGGACGTCCTTGAGGCCTGTGCGCGGGGTTAGGGGAAGCGGGTGGAGGGGTTGATCAATAGTTGTTAGGATGCGTGCGGCGATGGCAGGTGGGGGGGCGGTAGTAGTGTGGTGTTAGCACACGTGTGTGTGTGTGTGTGTGTGTGCGTGCGTGTGTGTGTACGCGTGCGTGTGTGTAATTGTGTTTGCGTGTGCGTGTGTGTGTGTGTGCGTGTGCGTGTGTGTGTGTGTGAGTGTGAGTGTGAAGTAATGTTGTGGCTATGTGCGGTACTGTCAGGGGCCTAATTGTCATCTCGGCAGAATTTTCAACGATTTTTTAACAAATGCATTATTCGATATTACACATGTCCGTGCTGCGCGATTCGACTCGTTAAACTTGCGATCGTTTTTTTACAGTTATGCTGACAAATCTCGCAGCTATTTATATATATATAATAATTATATATATATATTGTGACACGTGATGCATGAATAGCTCCCATTGAATCATAAAGTTGTCGCAAAAAAGAAGATGTAACTTACGTACGAGAGAAATATTTGATAACAACGCATAGTTTTATGTACATACGTATTCCTTTCTATATAAATAATGACTGCTTGAATTATGGACTTTTATCAATAATTATCACGCGCGTACACTGTCGTCCTAGCAGTAGTGAGTGTGAACTGCGAAGGCATGCAGAATACTGATAAAAACTGTGCACTACAACGAACGCGAAACCCAATACCACTCATTGCGGTGCAGAAGTGCAGTATAGACAGTTCTACAGAGACTACAGTGGAAAATCATGCTTCTGTATTATCAGAGGTAAGCGACTAAGGTTACATTGTGCATATATAGCTGAACGAACATACGTGACGAAAACGAGCATGCATTCATCTTCTTTTCGTCAATATACGCATTGGTTCTCAACCAACCCTTTTGTTTGGAGGCCCGTCATTTTCGGTTCTCCGCAATATCTCTCGCTTCTGTTGTTCCTAATGCAGCTCTTATTGCTAATTATAATACTACAATAACTTACAATTAGTGCCATTTCGTAGGTACAGGCCACCCTGTACAGTTAAATGACGCATGTAGCGACAAAATATGCAGATAATAAACGGGAGAAACGCTCATTTTGATTTGTAACATGAAACCAGCCAACATGTATGCACCTCCCTCGCGCACCCAGGTTGAGAACCACTGATTATCTATAGCAGGCAAGTTCATCATAACAAGATAGAAAAAATAGACACCAAGCGTAAGTGGGTTATAACCATAGCAACTACAACCGCGTCGAAAGACTTTCGTCGTCGATCGTCAGGCGACGCCTTAAAGTCGACGTCGTCATCGGCAGGGCTGAGCGTGATGAACTCGCCGACGCTGTCGAACGTAAAAGACACGTCTGCGGGAGCATTTGCAATTGAAGGCGCCCTCGCTCGCGGCGGCGACTTGACAGTGGACCAGAGCGCCCTCTGACGTCGGCGGGAGAGTAGGCGCCGTAGGTGGGTTAGCGTGCGCGGGTGCCGTTAGACGACGCGGCGTCTTTCTTGCCGTCACCATCATCACCGAAACCGTGCTCTTCCCGCTATCCAGCCCGGGTTTCTCGTCGGTAGTGCGTGCAGGATAGAAAGAGTCGGAGTTTGCGAAGGCGGGTTGTCGGAGCCTACCGATCGGTGACAGCGGCACGAGTTCCTGCGACAGTTTCGTCGTCGGTGTCGCGCGCGGTAAGGGCCGGTCCGATCCAGCTGAGAAACGGCAGGAAGAACAGCGCTGGAAGAGACCATACAGCACAACGCAGAAGAAGGTCTGCAAGTAAAGAGAGAATAAACGTATAGAGAGAGGGAGTGAGAGAGAGACCGAGATGAAGCGGCCATAAAAGTTACGATAATACGCATAAAAGGAACGAGTTAGAGAGAGAGAGAGAGAGAGAAGAGAGAGAGAGAGAAGAGGGGGATGGTGATTGAGAGAAATTGTGAGAGCGCTAGATAGAGAGAGAGAGAGAGAGAGAGAGAGAGATGAATGACAGAACACTGCTACAGGAGACAGAGGGGATAGATAGAAGAAAGATAAGAAGGAAGCGATGAAAGAGATATTGGGGGGGGATAAAAATAGATTGGGGTCGGCTAAGAGGTAAGTGAGAGGGGGGCAGGGGGAATAGGAAATCACAGAGATCCTTGATATGGAACGAATCTGTAACATTCTCGAAATCTTATTTTAGATGTCCACAATTATATATACGTATATATAATATATATATATATATATATGGCTTCTTTACCTTGAAGAACTGTTGGAAGGAGATCGAAGTCGACGTCGAGAGAAGAATGAAGGCGAGGAATGTGCTGAAACCACCGCAGAAACAGCCGCCCCCATGTGCTTCAACGACATGTCAGCACGAGCTGCAAAACACATCCCGCAAAAAACACACCTCATGACGTCACGCGTCCAATTTGTTTGAGAGTGCGTCAAATCAACGCGCATTATATTAAACATAGAAGGCGTTAAAAATTTAATGTCTATTTTAAAAATTGCAATGGTTATGATGATGAATAACAATGTGAATCAGTTTTTGCTGTTAGGTGTAGTAAACGGTGTTGAAACTCGTTGAAACCCGATGTGACGCAGTAGCCTAAATGTTAAAACGCAAGCTCTGGCGACATATGAGTGTTAGCACAATTAAACTGGCTGCTACAAACGTCTCACTAGTTTTTATACACGTATACCAAGTTTGGATCGACAGTTTTAGCTTTGGTTTAGTTTTAGTTTGATCTCTAGCTCATCACGCAGGACCCGCATCTATACCTCTATACGACTTATTCTCATCTCTCTTTCCAATTTCACCCCAAATCGGCGATGAAGTCTGCTCTCAAGTCTACTCTCTCATCTTCTGCTCTTCTCGCTTATCTTCTTTCTCTGTCTCTGTCTCTCTCTCTCTCCCTTCTCACCTTTCTCTTCTCTTCTCTCTCTCTCCCTTCTCCCTTCTCTCTTCTCTTCGCTTTCTCTCTTTTCTTTCGTTCTCTCGCTCTTTTCTTCTCTATCTCAGCTTCGACTACGACACTTACTCTGTCTGCTGCCCGAATGCAACATGAACTCGTGGCCCATGTGCACGGGATAGTCGACGGCCAGACCCGTGCATAGGATGAAGTTGAGTGTGAGTCCGATCTCAATCTTCAGGCCCCAGAAGTACGCTGTTCCAGCCAAATCGATCTGAAAGCAACAAGCTATGCTGACCATGCACGCAAGCAGACGACAGCGCACGCACACATATACACGCAGCAGACGACCGCACGCACGACATAGCACCGCCAGTACGAACCTTCAACCGCAAGCAACATATACACGCATGCAGACCGACCCGCACGCACCCCTAGATACACCATCGCAGACGACCGCACGCATACATATACACGCGCGCAGAACGACCGCACGCACCACAATACACGCATGCAGAACGACCCGCACCACCATATACACCACGCAGACGACCGCACGGGCACCACAATATACACGCACGCAGACGTAACCGCACTCACGACATAACACGCACCGCAGACGACGCACGCGACACATATACACCGCGCGCAGACGACCGCCACGCACACATATACACGCACGCAGACGACCGCTACGGCACACATAACACGCAATGGCAGACGACCGGCACGCAGCACATAACGCGCATAGCCAGACGACCGCACGCACCACCATATACAGCGCATGCAGACGACGCCGCACGCAACACAATACACGCATAGCAGACGACTCGCACGCACACATTTACCGCGCATGCAGACGACCGCACGCACACATATACACGCATGCAGACGACCGCACCGCAACACATAGCACGCGCCGCAGACGACCGCACGCGAACACCATATACACGCATACAGACGACTGCAACGCAACACATATCACGCATGCAACGACCGACAGCACACATATTACACGCATGCAGCCCCGACGCGCAACCGAACACATAGCACGGCTGCGCAGGACACCGCACGCACACATATACACGCATCAGACGACGCGCAACGCACACCATATGCACGCATGCAGAGGATCGCACGCGACCACAGATACAAACGCGCTTTTATAGGCAGTAACACACAGAACAGATCGGGGTGCTTCAGAACCTTCTCGTATAATCAATCGCATGTCACTAGAGAGTAAAGAAGTGAACCAAAGTCGAGAATAAACAGTAATTGTCGGCTCTTATAAAGCATTAAAAATCAGGGTAATCTTAAATTAAATAAAAGCAGTGAAAACTACACGCAGATCAAAAAGCATGTGTATATAGGTTCTTTCCTAACAAAAATCAATACTATAATTTTTTTAAAATTTCTTAAATAAAAACAAACTAAAGACGGCATTATTACATAAATAGCACATGTCGGAGGAGAAAATGTTTTGGCTCAAAAACGGCCACCACCTGGTGGTCACTCTACCGTACTAATCCTTTATGTGTTGCCGCGTCCATTCACCGAGCTGTAGACATGGTGTGGGATGGTTTTACATAAATAAATACGTCTCGCAAGGCGAAACACATCTGTTATAAATAAAATCTTAAAATAATTTCTTAATCTATTTGGGGACTATCCATGGTCAGCAACAACGCACGTCCCACAGCTAGAATGCTGTGACAGTCTGAGAGGCAGGAGCAGTGTCATAACGAATACCGCAGCCATGGCGTAGAAAGCATTCGGTAATTAACATCGTTCCGATAATCTAAAAAAAAAAAAGACTCAGAAGGCGGACCCGCAAAGCCCACACGAACAGGGAAGGCTGCGATTTATGAATTAAATTTATTAGAATAAATTTGTAATTATGGCGTGGTGTGGAATGTTTCGTTACAATGTTCCATAATTACGTGATCCATTCAGAACATAAACTGAATATGCACTAAATCCAACTACATATCTAATAAATATTTGAGTCAGTATTTGTAAATGTAGTATTATTTATTATGTATTATATGTATGTAATGACGTCTTATGTATGTAATGTATGTAAGTAGTTATGTATGTATGTAGTATGTATGTAAGTAGTATTAATGTATTATGCATGTATGTATGTATGTACGTATATTATGTATGTATTAGTATTATTATTATGTATGTAGTATGTATGTTGTAAGTCTTAGTATAGTATTATGTATTATGTAGTATGATAGTAATGTATGTATGTATGAATGTAGTAGTAGTAATAGTAGTATGTATGTAAGAGTATTATGTATGTAACTATGTATGTAGTATGTATTAGGATGTATGTAGTATGTATGTTATGTATTATATTAATTATGTAATGTATGTATGTATGTAGGATGTAGTATGTATATGTATGTATGTATGTATGTAGTATTATGATTATTATGTATTATTATGATGTAATGATGTAAATGTATGTATGTATGTATGTAAGGTATATGTAGTATGTATGTAGTAGAGGAGTATTATGTATTATCGTATGTATTATGTAGTATGTATGTAGTAGTATAATGTAAGTAGTATGTAGTATGTATAGATTATGTATGTATTATGTATGAGTATGTATTAGTTAGTAAGATGTATGTAGGATGTAGTATTATGATGTAATGATGTATGTACTGTATGTATTAGTATGTAGTATGTAGTATGAAATATATGTTGATGTATTGGTATGATGTATATCTATGTATGTATGTGATGTATGTATGTAGAATGTATGATTATGTAGTATATGTATGTATGTAGTAGTATGTATATGTATGTATGTATTATGTAAGTATGTATGTATGTATGAGTATTTATGTATTATATTATGTATGTATGCTATTATTAATTAGATTAGTATTATGTAATGATATGTATGTATATGTATATGTATGTAGTGTATGTATGTATGATGTAATAGTATTATGTATGATGTATGTATGATGTATGTATGTATTAGTATTATGTATGTAGTATGTAGTAGTAGTAGTAATGTAGAATGTATGATTATGTATGTAATGTATGTATGTGATTAGTTAGATGTATGTATTATTATGTATGTATATGAGTATGTATGTATGTATGTATGTATTATGCAGATGTATTATAGTTATGCTATGTATGTATGTATGTATATGTATGCTATTATATGTATGTATGTTGTTATGTATGTAGATATGTATGTAATGGTAGTATGTATGTATGTAGTAATGTATGACGTATGTAGTATGCTATGATGTAGTATGTATGTACGTATGTATTGTAGTATGATGTATGTAGTATGTATGTATAGTATGTATGTAATTATGAGTATAGTATGTATATGATGTATTAAATATTAATGATGTAAATTAGTTAAGTATGTATAGTATGTATTGTAATGCCTATTATGTAATGCTATGTAAACGACGTATCTATTACTGTTATGTAAAATGTAAAAAATGTATGATACTATGTAGTATATAGTATGTCATGTAGTATTATGTATTATCCATGTATGTCATGTATGTATGTATGATGTTAATGTACTGTAGTAACTGTATGTATGCTACTGCATGTATGTACTATGTATCGCTATGTATGATGCTATGTATCATATTATGTAGCAGTATGTAGTATCGATGTAGGTATCGCTTATGTATCTATGTATCGTACGCTATGCTAGTTCATGTATTATGTAGCTATGCTATGCTAAGGAGCTACTGTATGTAGCAGAGGTATGCTATGTACTGCTATGTATGTAGTATGTAGACATGATTCGTAGTATCGATGTATGTCATAGTATTATATCATTATTATGGATTAGTACTGTAATGCTATCGTATGTAATTATCGTATGTATGCTACGTACTGACGTATCTATGCTAGCTACGGCTATCGTAACTGATCGTATGCTATGTATGTATGTATGTCATGTATGTAGTATGTAGTATCGTATCAGTAAGGATGTATATTACCTGTCAACTGCTATGTCTCGTAGATTACTGTTGCTAGCTATGCTATCGTAGCTATGTTGCTATGATGTATCGTATGTATCGTAACGTAGATGTAGAGTATGTATGTATTCTGTATGTATGCTAATGTAGTATGTACTGTATGTCATGTAATGTATGGATGCATGTAGTAGTATGTATATGTTGATGCTATATACCGTATGTAGTATGTATATGCAGTATATGTATGATATTATGTCAGCCGCAACATAGTCTGTATGTATAGTATGTATGGAATGACGTAAAACTCCGCATAATACTCAGATTATGTATGTATGTATGTATTATGTATGTAGTATGTATGCTATGTATGTATTAGTATGTATAGTATGTAATGTATATGTAGTATGTACAACGACCAGTAGTATGCATGATGTTATATATGCTATGATGTATGTATGTATTATGGTATGTATTATGATAGTATGTATGTATGTAGTATGTAATGTATGTATGTATGATAGGTATGGTATTTATGTATGTATGTATGTAATGTTAATGATGGAATGATGCATGTATGAATGTAGTGTATGTAGGTATGTATGATATGTATGTATGTAGTATGTATGTAGATGATATGTATAGTAATGTATTAATTATGTATGTATGTAAATGTATGATATGTATGTATTATGTATTATTATTACTCGAATGTATGTGATGTATGTATGTATGATATATGTATGATGTA